AGTATCTTCAACATCTTCTAACCAAGAGAAAATATTATTATCTTGGGACATGTTGGCGTTAACATTTCTGGACCGACGTTTATTAAGAATTGGATCACCTTTTTGACCAAATACATAATACTCTGAAGCGAATCGCAACAAACAGTTGGATAGATAATCATATTTTTCATTTGTGAAATATGAAAAAGAGTCACATGATAGATCTACCCAAGGAGAAATTAGTATTGCGCCCATAGGGTTAATTGAATCGGCAGAAATGTTATTATTTGTATATATATGCTGTAAAAGTCCTAAAACCATTACCGCGCCTATCGAGTCCCCACCTATACATTGCAAAGAAATGCATGAAAATAAATATTATTTATTAACAAAAATATAAATAATATTAGCTTTACGCCACGAATATGTAAAATCTTCTCGATACTTACATAAAAAGACTTTTTTGCTACCGGGTCTACCACTAGAAACCAACCATCGATAAACACGTTCCAAATAATTTAATCCAACGGGGAACGGCTCATCGGATGCTAGTTCATAGTCGATAGTTAACACTCTAATATGTTTATTATATTTTGTTCTTAAAGTTTGTAATAAAAAACATAAAGATTGAACACCTAATAGTGATGTTACTGATATGTATGGTCCTCCTTTTTTTTTTTTTTTAAAAAAAAAACAAAAGTTTAAAAATCGATTTAAAAAAAAAATAAAAAAAATAAAAAATAAAAGAAAAAATAAATTTAGACTTACCATGAACGTATAACAAAATAGCTTCTGGAGGTTGACCTTGCCAAGTCTCAGCACCTAACCAATATCCGTTTAAATCGGTATCGATATCGTCAATTAATGATTCTATTGGTTCAGTGCATTTAAATTTTTTCATAAATGACTCGAAAAGTGATACATTTTTTCGGATAGAAGTTAATGGTGAATTAAATGCCCATTTCAAAGTGCGGATTACGGTTTCTTGATAGATTGTTAATGATGGATGAAGTGGATTATTGTTTATCCGGTGGTTGAAGAATACTCGGGGATACAATCCTACTAAATAATGGTTAGATGCAATTATTACCTTTATTACAACGACCATGTATACAAGCATACATAATCATACATACAAGCATAAAGACCGGTAAAAAAAGGACCACGCAGGGTG